CATGTCAGAATAGAGGATAGTATAAAGCAGAAAAAAATACTTTGAGTTAAACATATCTTTGCAACAATGTTACTCACAGTTGGTTCTGCGAAACACGTGGCTGGGAGGTGGCGTTTGACCTACATAGACATATACAAGTACAACATGTTTAATTCATTGTGCTACCAACTAATTGTCACCATTACTTATTGATTGGTTGGCCTAATTGTTCCTCATTCTCTTTTAATGCCCATGATACCCGTACAATGCATATAAACATCAAATACGTGTAGAAACTATGCTAACGGAGGCATGGAAGAAGGAAAAATGAAGCAAAAAAATGAGATTGGGCCTGCCAAACAGCCGCACGTGCGGAGTGCCTTGGTCGCACGTATGGCACTCCCTATCGCGCGTGCGCCAAAACGTGCAATTAATACAAAATGCACAGCTCCTCTCCCATGTTTTCCACTCGTGCAGCTTGGTTTCCTGCACGTGCGGTCCTCCATTCCGCACGTGCGGTTCTGGGGTGTTACACCACTGAAAATCTGCTTTATTTTTTGAGCTTTACCCTTTCTAAAACTAACTCTAATTTTGTACAAAGCAAGGCCCAAAATTGATTCAAGCATGTTGAATGAGTAAATGCTAATATCAACCCAAAATCAAGGTTTTACACAAAACATTCAAAATCAAGTTTTAAATAAAAGTGTACAATCTTCACATATGCATCTATATGATTTCAAGTCCACATCCATGAGGCAAAATTCATGTAAGAAATAAGTGTGAAACATGGAAAATGTCATCTTGAGCTATTTCTTACATTTCTTCTCTCTAGGATTTTCAACCATAACTCTCATTACATATGAGTTCAAGAATAAAATAATTTAGATTCAAGAAATTGAAAAGAATTCTTACCCTCAAGGGTTAATTTGGTAAAGAGTTAGCCTAATCTTTCTCTTCTCCTTCTCTTTCTCTTATGAGTCTCTAGAATTCTTTCACTACAATCTGTCTCTATTTTCTCTCTATCAGGTTTTTTTTTTCTCTCTCTCTCTTTCTCTCTTATTGTTGAAGTTCTAATATACAAAATATATAACTTTACTTTTCCTAACTCAATTTAAAGCTTAATTTAGTTGAAAGTAAAATTAAGGGTAATCTATTTAACTTAGCCTAATTTCTTAAGCTCCAACCAACTAATCTAACATTTAATTTGTGACCTTAAAATTTTATGAATCAAACAGGTCTAGTTCCTATTTTCTTTTATCTGTCAAACAAAACATAGTTCAAATAGCACATAAGTTACAATTAATCTACACATATAAACATTTAAGACATAAAGTCACATATAAGCACATGCTCTAGGTAAATAACAATTAATTACGAAGGCGGGTGTTACAATCTCTCCTCCTTAGGACGTTTGGTTCTCTAAACTCAATTACCTTCTTCCGTGAAGAGTGTAGGGTCTAATGGAAAAAGCTCGGGTACTTCTCTTGCATATCTTCTTCTCTTTCCCAAGTTACATAGCTCCCACTATGGTTTTGCCAATCCACTTTGACCAAAGGAATTTATTTATTTCTTAACTTCTTGATACAACGGTTAAAAATCCGAATGGGCCATTCTTCGTATGTATAGTCATCACTCACAAGCACCTAAATAGGCTTAATGACATGTAGAGGGTCTTGAAGATATTCTCTCAACATGGAAACATGAAAAACATTATGCATGTGGTCCATATTTGGAGGTAGGGCTACCCGGTACACTACTGGATTAAGTTTCTCAATGATCTCATAGGGTTCGATGTACCAAGGTGCTAACTTTCCCTTGGTTCGAAAATGGGTCTGTCCTTTCATCGGAGTGACTTTGATAAAAACATGGTTGCCCACTTCATATTCTCTCTCTCGTCTACCCATATCCGCATAGCTTTTCTGTCGACTTTGAGCTGTTTTCAGCCGTTATTGGATCAACTTCACTTTCTCAGTGGTTTCTTGTACAATTTCAGGCCCCAATAACGGTCTATCTCTAACCTTAGCCCAACAAATCGGTGACTGACATTTCCTGTCATATAGAGCCTCGTATGGTGCCATGTCAATGCTTGAATGAAATTTGTTATTGTACGCAAATTCAACTAAAGGCAAATGTGTCTCCCAATTTCTGTGGAAGTTCAATGCACACATACGTAACATATCTTCAAGCGTCTGTATTTTCCTTTCTGATTGGCTATCTGTCTGCGGATGGTATGCACTGCTCAGTCTTAATTTGGTCCCCAACGCTTTTTGTAGACTTTGCCAAAATCGCGAAGTGAATTTTAGATCCCTATCAGATACAATTGATACAAGCACTCTATGCAGTTTCACAATTTCATTGATATAGAATGTAGCCAACTTATCCACATTATAAGTCATTTTCACCTGTAAGAAATGAGCAGATTTTGCCAAATGGTCTACAATTTCCCAAATTGAATCCATACCTCTGCTGGAGTGAGGTAATCCAACAACGAAATCCACTGTGATATATTCTCATTTCTACTCCGGTATCGGTAATGGTTGAAGTAATCCTGCGGGTTGTTGATGTTCTGTTTTAACTTGTTGGCAGTGCAAACAGGTGGACACGAACTTGGCAATTTCTCTTTTCGTTCCCGGGCACCAAAAATTCTGCTTTAAGTCTTGGTACATCTTTGTATTTCCTGGATGGGTAGAGAATTTTGAGTTGTGCGCCTCTTGCAGAATTTGCCTTTTCAAGTCACCATCATTCGGTACATACAACCTTCCCTGAAATTTGAGCATATCATTTTCAAAAATGAAAACCGGTCTTGGTTTGGAATCCCGTTCATCTATAATATTTTTCAGGAATTCATCTTGCAATTGTTTTTCTTTAACTTCTTCAAAGATTGCCGGTTGTACAGAGATAGTAGCTAAAATCCTACCTTGACCCCGCAGGACAATATTAAGTTCAAATCTTTCCACTTCCTGTAGTAATGCTTTTTGTCTAGTAAGTACACAAGCCAAGCTTCCACTTGATTTCTGACTAAGAGCATCAGAAATGGTATTAGCCTTTCCCGGATGGTACAAGATTTGCAAATCATAGTCCTTGACCAATTCTAATTATCGCACTGTCTCATATTCAGCTCTTTTTGGGTAAAGAAGTACTTGAGACTCTTACAGTCCGTATACACCTCACATGTTGCCCCGTACAGGTAGTGGCACTAAATCTTTAAGGAAAAAACTACTGCAACAAGTTCTAAATCATGAGTTGGGTAACTCTTTTCATGCGGTCTCAATTGACGGGAAGCATATGCAATTACCTTTCAATTTTACATCAACACACACCCCAAACCTTTATAAGATGCATCACTGAAAATAGTAAAACCCTCTGTACCTAATGGTAGGGTGAGAATCGGTGCGGTCACAAGTTGCATTTTCAATTCTTGAAAAGCTTACTCTCTCTGTTCCGTCCATTCAAAGGAGACCTTTTTTTGTGTTAACTGAGTGAGTGGCAAGGCGATTTTAGAAAAGCCTTTTGCAAACCAATGATAGTATCCAGCCAGGCCCAAGAAATTGCATACTTCTGTAACATTCATCGGTCTAGGCCAATTTACAATTGCCTTTATCTTTTGTGGATCAACAGAAATGCCATATTTCATTATCACATGACCCAAAAACATGACACTATCTAGTCAGAACTCACACTTAGACAATTTAGCATACAATTTCTTCTCCCTCAGCGTTTGCAATGCTAGTCTCAAGTGTTGTTCATGTTCCTCCTTACCTTTGGAATAAATTAAAATGTCGTCAATAAACATAACAATGAACTTATCAAGGAACGGCTTGAAAACTCTGTTCATTAAATCCATAAAAGCAACCGGTGCATTAGTAACCCCGAATGGCATAACGGGGAACTCATAGTCGCCGTATCTTGTTCGAAAGGTAGTCTTTTCCACATCTTTAGCTTTAAATTTTAACTGATGATATCCGGATCGCAAATCAATTTTAGAAAACACTTGCGTCCCTTGCAATTGGTCAAACAAGTCATCAATACATGGCAACGGGTACTTATTCTTCACAATCACCTTGTTTAACTCCCGGTAATCCACACAAAGCCTTAAGGATCCATCTTTCTTTTTCACGAATAATACTGGAGCGCCCCACGGTGACTTACTAGGCCTGATGAACTTCTTGTCTAACAAGTCTTGTAATTGAATTTTCAACTCTTTCAATTTGGTAGTCGACATCCGGTATGGGGTCTTGGAAATTGGCCAAGTACCTGGTACTATCTCAATAGTTATTCAATTTCTCTGTCAACTAAATTCCCGTGAAAATCATCTGGAAAAACATCTGAAAAATCTTTAACTATAGGAATGCTATCCACATTAGGTTTGGCAACCATTGGCACAGTTAGCACAGAGCATAGAAATCCTCTACAGCCTTTATTAATCAACTTAATCGCTTTCATGGAAGAAATTAAATATGGGAGAGATACCACACCAACTCCATGAAATGTAAATTCAGGTAATTCAGGTAATCGGAACACAACTTGTTTAGTCAAACAGTCAATAGTAGCGCAATACTTCAATAACCAGTCCATTTTCAAGATTACATCAAAATGAGTGATATTTAAAGGCAACAAATCAACATATAAAGTCATCTCCCCAACAGTAATATCACATGCATGATACACATACGCACAAGTCATAGACCTTCCAGTTGGAGAAGATACAGTTAACAAATAAGGCATTGGTTCCAATGATCTAGTTACTTTTGGAGCGAAAGCATAGGACACAAAGGAGTGTGTAGACCTCGAGTCAATCAACACATATGCATTCTAGGAACAAATAGGAAGAATACCTGACACAACTGTCTCCGTATGCTGCACATCACCCGATACTAATGCAAAAACCTGTTCTTTTTTCAACATTTCCTTCCCTACAGTTGCTTTCGGATTAACCTTGGTGTTGAAGCTGAAGTGGCAGAACTTGCCATAGGCCGACTCATGCTTTGGGACCCCAGTGGAAAATCTTTGATCACGTGGCCTTATTTCCCACACCGGAAACATGCACTAGAAATTCTGTGGCAAACTCCCCTATGTCGTTTTCTACATTTCGGGCAGATAGATGTATCGTTCTCTTGGCTAGAGCTATTTGATGATCCCGTATTCTGCCTTTTATTTTGTGAATTGTTGGAGTTATTTTGACCCTTCTTAAAATTGAATCCCTGTTTCTTACCATTCCATTCATTCACCGGTGTCTTTGCTTGTTTTAGTCCAACAATGTTCGCCTCAGCCATAATGGCTCTATCCAAGACATCAACATATTTTACCAACTTGAGTACATTAATCCGGTCAAGGACCTCAACATCCAGGCCACCTTCAAATTTTTTAGCCTTCTTATAATTGGTGTCTACCATATGTGGTGCATACCGTGCAAGCTCGGTGAATTTAGCTTCGTACTCTGTTACCGACATAGTACCTTGCTTTAGTTGCTCAAACTCTGCTACTTTGCGGTCTTTTACACACTGTGGGAAATATTTTTCATAAAATTCCTTTTTAAACTGTGCCCAAGCCATGGTAGTCTGCTGATCACGGATAAGCATCCATCACCTTCTCGTTTTTTCTTGCAATGTGAAAGTTGCCAGCAAAACCTTTTGCTATTTAGAATAGGGAAATACTTCAAACAACTTCTCAATCTCTAAGACCCATGCTTCAGCCTTCAACGGTTCAAGGCTCCCTCGAAAGATAAGTGGTTTCATTTTGTTAAACTTCTGCGTCAAAGTAATAATGTCACCGTTGTTAGATGGCTCAACCAAGATTGAGGGTGGAGAAGGAGGTCGAAATGGCTGTCTTGGTTGTCGTCTTAAAGATTCTGTCAATAACTCCACCATTCGCTCTAACCATTCCATTCATGCATCAGAAGAATCAGATGTATATGTAGGTCCTGTCTCCTCCATTGGTCTATATGTAAGCAGGTTGATAATAAACATAGGAAAAATAGATTTCACATTTACATTGTCATCACATAGGCACATAAGAAACCCACACACACTCACACTTGCAAATAAATGCGCATAATTTCTTCTCTAAGACACCCTATAGCTTATTTGGACGTGTGTGTGCAGTGTAACTCGTGCTCTAATTGTCACGACCCAAATCCGTCCCTATGGGTTTAGTACCGTAACCGGCCAGTAATCCAAGATTACCGAAGGCCTGCTTAACAGTAATACAGTAATACAGAGTACATGGGCTGGCGGAAGCCAAAACAGTAAATAAACAATGTCCAATGAGCTGTGAGTCTGCATGCAAAAAGATTTTTCGCACGTATATATGAACAGTACAAAACAGTATGTACAACATTTACAGTCGATCAGAACAGGGACCTAATCCCCATTAACAGTACAGTACAGTGTCTATACAGTTATTACAAAACAGATATAGAGACAGACGGGGGAAATTAAAACACCCCTAAGCCATAGCTTGGCAGGCTCGGAACCTCGCAGTGAGGCACAGTGGTTGGCTTGACAAAAAGAGGAGTCTAACCCACGCTCCTAGCTCCGGTCTGGTGCCTGAACACCTACATATATATATATAAACAGTGAGCTAAAGCCCAGTGAATAGCATAATGCGTAAAGAGGTTAAGAATGAATGTCTTTTCAGTATTGAAAACAGTCAGTTGATTCAGTATATCAGTCGTTCAGTCATAACAGTTATACGTGGTACATCCATTAGCATAGCAGTACAGTAACAGTAGGTCTTAAAAGACCGAACAGTAAATAATGGCCATCATAACAGTAGACAGTAGTGGTTCCAACGTGGGAACCGACAGAGATCTCTGTAACAGTAACAGTAAACAGTAGTTGCTAAGGATGCCACAATATAGTTCAGAATATAGGACATACATTCATTCAATTAACAGTAAACAGTTCAGAAAACAGTTTAATTGTTCAGAAGATAATCATATTTGAACATATCTTTACACAGTTGTTACTCACAGAGTTCTGGGCTACAATTAAGTTAGAGCGCGCCCCCAGATGCCAACCCTACACAGTTACAGATTGAACACACACTAAGCTACACAGTTGGGAAAGATAATAATTTAATCCCTAATTTGCCTCAGTGTGGTTCTACATCTACATCCTCATTAAGATGCCTAAACTAGGCCTAAGAATGCCTAGGATGGGATGAGGATGTAAGGATGCACTTTAAAACATTTTCAGAATTTCAGAAAACAGGGGTCCTGCTCGACCGTAGGTTACTCCGCTCGAGCGACAGACAAATGTTTCTGCTCGAGCGTAGACTTACCCGTTCGAGCGTAATGCAAAGCAGGGCAAAAGTACTGGATGTGTGAAAATCGCGCTCGATTGAGCGCTCAATAGCCGCTCGAGCGTAAAACACAAGGTCCAGCTTGAGCGCTAATTACCCCGCTCGAGCAGACTTCAAAACAGTGCAAAGTGCTGGGAGCACAAATTTTACGCTTAAGCACCACCAACCCCACTCGAGCGTTAGTCCAAATTCTGGAAATTCCAGATTTGAACTTCAAGCTCAAAACCAAGTTCAAATGTACAATTTCGATCCTCTTGGGCCAATTTTCCAGAAAACATTCCAAAACTCATAATTTAACATGATTCCAAAGCTCAATTGTAAAATCAAAGCCCAAGGGTGTTTCAATTAAATCCAATTTCCAAACCAATTTTCATGAACAAGATGAACATGCATGAAAATGAGCTAACTCTTACAAAAACATGATGAAATCATGGTCTACTTTCAAAACATGGACATGCATGTGAGGAATTATGGACTACAACCTCAAAACTTCAATACATATACATGCATGCAACAAATAAGCTCCAATTCAACAATTTGAGCCATAAATTGGCTCTAGACTTCAACTTTGCTCAAAACCATGCAAGAACAAGCTTAAACACAACAATGAGAGGTTGAATTCCCTTACCTAAGTCTCCAATACAAGGTGAGGAAGCTTAATTTGCAACCTATATTCCAATTCTTCAAGCCAACGCACAAGATCAAGTTGAATTCACTATTTTCCTCTCACTCTCTCTCTAGTCGGTAATAACAAGGAACAATGGCTGGACAAATGTTTTGTCTACATGTATAATAAGGCTCAAATACGTGTTAGCTAAGTGGCCCACTCAATGGCACTATAGTAAATAAGTCTAACTATGCAATTTAGCTTAATTCAATCTAATTTCATCATACCAAAACACTTTTCAATTAAATATGCCATAAAATCATATAAATTCTAATGATCATAAAACATCACTCGATTTCAGATTCGGCCGCCGATAAGGCTTTCAATTCGCAACTCAAAACATAAAACACAAACAAATAATCAAACAGGCAACAGATAGATAATGCATTTAAACAGATACAGTCAATCAATCAGTTTCAGATTTCAGTCAGCCAGTTCAGTATTTCAATTAGTTTAATTACTTTTCATAATCAGTCTCAGTTTAGTAGAAATCGGTAGTTTATCGGTAAACAGTGGTGAGGGTTATTACAGTCTCCCCTCATTAAAAAGAGTTTAGTCCTCTAAACTCGAATTACCTTCGTTTTGGAAGAAAACAGGATTTAGTGGAAACAGCTCAGGATATCTTTTAGCCATGTCATCTTCCCTTTCCCAAGTGGCATACACGCCACCATTGTTTTGCCAGTTGACTTTCACTAACGGGATCTCTTTGTTTCTCAACTTCTTGATCCGTCTGTTTACAATCTGAATAGGTCGTTCCTTGTAAGTGTAGTCATCACTTAGCACTACACGAGTAGGCTCTATCACATGGAAAGGATCTCGGAGGTAATCCCTCAATATAGAAATGTGAAAGACGTTGTGCATATGCTCCATTTCAGGAGGAAGCACAACTTGATACGCCATCGGATTGATTTTCTCAATAATCTCATACGGTCCGATATATCTTGGCGCTAACTTGCCTTTGACTCCAAAACAAGTCTGGCCTTTCATCGGTGTTACTTTGACAAAAACGTGATCACCCACTTCATACTCTCTGTCCCGTCTTCTGACATCCGCATAACTTTTCTGTCGGCTCTATGCAGTTTTTAGTCTTTGTTGTATCAGTTTCACTTTCTTAGTTGTTTCATATATAATCTCAGGCCCAAGTAAAGGCCCATCTCCAACTTCTGCCCAGCAAATCGGAGATCTACATTTCCTGCCATACAATGCCTCGAAAGGCACCATACCAATACTTGAATGATAGCTGTTGTTGTAGGCGAATTCAGCTAAGGGAAAATGGCTTTCCCAGTTTTCCTGAAAATCAAGGACACACATTCTCAGTAAATCCTCCAGAGTTTGGATGGTCCTTTCTGACTGGCCATCTATCTGAGGATGATAGGCACTACTCAGTCCCAGTTCAGTACCCATTGCAGTCTGTAAGCTTTGCCAAAATCTCGATGTAAACTTCGAATCTCTGTCGGAAACAATGGACACAGACACCCTATGCAGTCTAACAATTTCATCAATATAGAGTATAGCCAATTTGTCCGCATTATAAATTGTCTTAACAGGTAAGAAGTGAGCAGATTTAGTCAGTCTATCAACAATAACCCAAATTGAGTCCATACCTTTACTGGAGCGAGGCAATCCCACAATAAAATCCATGGTGATATGTTCCCATTTCCACTCCGGTATGGGTAAGGGCTGCAATAAGCCTGCGGGTCGTTGATGTTCGGTTTTAACTTGTTGGCAATGAAGACATTTCGATACAAAATTAGCAATTTCTTTTTTCATCCCCGGCCACCAGAAATTCAATTTCAAATCTTGGTACATTTTCGTGTTTCCTGGATGGATAGACAGTTTTGAATTGTGGCCTTCTTGCAGAACTCTTCTTTTTAGTTCAGTATCATTCGGTACACATAGTCTTTCTTAAAATTTCAGCACATTGTTTTCAAATTTGAAACCTGGTCTTGGTTTAGATTCCCTTTCTTCGATGATCTTCTTCAAGAAGTCATCCGATTGTTGTTTCTCTTTAATTTCTTCAATCAGTGCCGGTTGAGCAGAAATAGCAGCTATTGTTCCACCTTGTTCTTGCAAAACAATTTCAATTTCAGATTTTTCAAGGTCACAAAGCAACTCTTTCTGCCCAGTGAGCAAACCGGCTATATTTCCAATCGATTTCCGGCTCAGTGCATCGGCAACGGCGTTGGCTTTTCCCGGATGGTACAAAATCTGTAGGTCATAGTCTTTAATTAGTTCTAGCCATCTCTACTGTCTTATGTTTAGTTCTTTCTGTGTGAACAAGTATTTCAGACTCTTGTGATCGGTATATACTTCACATGTCACCCCATACAGATAGTGACGCCAGATTTTCAATGCAAATACCACTGCGGCAAGTTCCAAGTCATGGGTCGGGTAGTTCTTTTCATGCAGTCTTAGTTGTCGGGAAGCATAAGCGATAACTCTCCCATTCTGCGTTAAAACACACCCCAAACCCTTATGAGAAGCATCACTAAATACAGTATAACCATCCGTACCTGTAGGTAAGGTCAGAACGGGTGCAGTCACTAGTCGAGTTTTCAACTCTTGGAATGCTGATTCCCTTTGGTCAATCCAGTCAAATGATATCCCCTTCTGCGTTAATTGAGTCAATGGTAAGGCAATTTTGGAGAAATCTCTGACAAATCTTCTGTAATATCCAGCTAATCCCAAAAAGCTTCGGACTTCTGTCACATTTGTTGGTCTAGGCCAGTTTACTACCGCTTCAACTTTCTGTGGATCAACTGAAATTCCATCTTTGCTAACAGCGTGCCCCAAAAACATAACATGATCAAGCCAAAATTCACATTTAGACAGTTTAGCATAAAGTTTCTGTTCTCTTAGGGTCTGTAGAGCAAGTCTCAGATGATGTTCATGTTCTTC